AGGAACAAGGAACAGAGGCACGGCACCTGGGGGAGAAACCCACGTGAAGGAGGCAAAGGCTGGAGGGACGCACCCACGAGCCACGGGACGCCAGAGACCGCCGGCGGCTGCCAGCAGCTGGAAGGGGGGGGGGATGCTCCCCCACAGGCTTCATAGGAAGCACAGCCCCGCCAACCCCGGGATTTCAGGGTCTGGGCTCCAGAATTACGCAAGAATGAATTCCTGTTGTTTTACGAACCACCCGCTCGTGGTGTTTTATGACAGGAGGAGCCACAGGACACGAACACACCACGCGGAGGTGTGCGAACCCACGTGGGGCTGGGAGGCCCATCCCACCGAGGGGCACGGAGGCCCCGGGACAGGCAGACGGGGGGTCAGGCTCAGCACAGACGCACTGGCAGCGTCTTCGTGGCTCAGAAGGAGAGACGAGCTGCTGTGGACACACGCTTCCCGAGGATGACTACAGACACGTGGGTCCAGCTCTTGTCCCGAAAGTGAGCTCAGGGCAGTCCCCGCATCGTCCAGGCTTTCCTGAACACGGGCCCCCAACAGCCACTGAAACTAAGATACTCCACTAGACAAATAACTGTGTAACAAAGCACGCCCCCCCCCCCCCCCCGTATTTAGTTGCTTGTTCTGCGATTTTGTTTACTTACTTAAGTTTATTTATCTGAGAGAGAGGGGGAGAGGGGGAGAAAGCGCACGCGCACGAGCAGGGGAGGGACAGAGAGGATCCCCAGCAGGCTCCGCATCACCAGCGCAGAGCCCAACTCGGGGCTCGAACCCACCAACCTCGAGATCGTGACCTGAGCTGAAATTGGATGCTTCACCGAATGAGCCACCCAGGCCCCCTGAATTCTGCGATTTTAGACAACGGTATGATAAATATCACTACGTATAGAGGTGCAGGGGGGAGGGGAGGGGCTCAGTCGGCTAGGTATCTGACTCTTGATTTCGGCTTAGGTCATGATCTTGCGGTTCGTGAATTCAAGCCCCACATCGGGCTCTGCACTGACATCACGAAGCCTGCTTGGAGTTCTGTCTCCCCCTCTCCACCCCATCCCCACTCATGCACGCGTGCACGCTCTCTCTCCCCAAAAAATAAACTTTAAAAATAAAATCTTAAAAATATACACAGGTCACTACACATAAGATTTTCATGCTCTCGTGTCTCACAAACACACTTCCGAAGTAGAATTACGCGGTCACAGATAAGAACGTTTTCAAGGCTCTCTATACATATAGATAACTTTCCGAGAAGGTGGCACCCACCTGTGTTTCTTTTTTCTTTTATTTTTGAGAGAGCGCAAGTGAGCGAGGGGCAGAGAGAGAGACAGAGAGAGAGGGAGGGAAGGAGAATCCCAAAGCAGGGCTTAAGTTCACCCAATATGGGGCTCGAACTCACGAACCCTGAGACCATGACCTGAGCCAAAGTCAGATGCTTAACCAACAGAGCCACCCCAGGCGCCCCCGCATCTGTATTTCTACCAACGGTGGAACACTAGTCTAGGTCTTGACATTTCTCAACATTTTAGAGGTTTTGGCCAATTTTACAGGGGAAAAAAACAGGAGTTTACCATCGCTTCAATCTGTATTCTCTGATTACCAACACGGAGTAAGCTTCCGTGGTCATTAAGGATGTGCGTTTCCTTTGTGAACGATCTGTGTGTCTTTTGCTATTCCCTATTAGTTTTTCTTATTGATCTGCAACAGCTCTTTATATACGAGAACACAGCCATCACGTACCATGTCCGTAGCAGACTTGTCCCCCAAATAGTCATCTGCCTTTTCATTCTACATATGGGTTTTATTGATGCAATGTGTAACATTTAGGTCATCGCATCTCTTGTCATTTTCTCGGTTTCAAGATGCTTTTTGTGCTTATAAGATCCGTTGCCAATCTGCAGTGCGGGGTCGGCAATCACTGGCCCGCCACTTGGTTCTGCAGATAAAGTTTTGCTGAAACACAACCGTGCTTATTCATTTACGTGGGCTCTGAGGCTGCTTTTGTGCCACGATGACAGCACTGAATGGTTACAACAGAGACCATGCGGCCCACAAAGCCAAAAATATCCATAACCTGGCCTTTTAGGGAAAAAGTTTGCTTTAACACATCTGAAGGACTTTAGCAAAAGGAAGGTAAAAAAAAATGGATGTTCGTCATCCCTACGTTCTACCACTGTTTCTTTTTTTTAAATGGCAGACTTTTTTTAATGTTTACTTTTGAGAGAGAGAGAGAGAGCACACGTGAGCAGGGGAGGGGCAGAGAGGGAGGGAGACAGGACCCGAAGCAGGCTCTGTGCTGACAGCACAGAGCCCGACTGAGGCGGGGCTAGAACTCACGAACCGCGAGATCATGACCTGAGTTGAGGTTGGACACTTAACCCACTGAGCCACCCAGGCGCCCCTCCACCGCACTCTTAATGGGACTCTAACTTCCTGGACAGGACACCCCAAAACAGAACCAACCCCACCCCTGTGCAGCTGCCACAGGACGAGGCAGAGGCACGGCTGCAGAAGAAATAAGAAAACCCGCTTCGGCAAACCTGTTGGTGTTGGTGAGCTTCTGATCACAAGACTGCTCCGCGGTCCGCTTGTTGCCAGAAAGATCTCGACCACCGCTGCCCGTGTACGTGAAAGAATTCCCGTGGTCCTGAAACAGAGAAGGACAGGCTGAGCCCTCCACACACAGGAGCACAGACTCCACCGAAAACAAACCCACACACGCCCGTTAGGATGTCAACAGAGACACGGAACGTGACAAGTGCAGACAAGGACGTGGACAAATCGGGACGCCGTGAGGGACAAGTAAGAACGCAAACTGGCACAGCCACGATGGAAAATGGTACGAAGGTTCCTTGAAAAGTTAAACAAAACTGCCATACAAAGCGGCAGGTCCCACTTCTGGGTCTACGCCCCAAAGAATTGAAAACGGGGCCTTGAGAAGGTGTTTGCACACCCACGCTCAGGGAAGCATGGTCCACAATAGCTAAACGTGCAAACAACCCCGGCGTCCGTTGGTGGATGAACGATTAACAGTGTGTCCATCCACACGCTGGAGGATTACCCAGCCTCAGGAAGGACGTCCTGCCGCCTGCCACCGCGTGGACGGACCCGGAGGACACCGTGCGCAGTGACAGGAGCCGGACAGAGAAGGACACGTCCCGCATGACCCCATGCACAGGGGGTCCCCAGAGTAGTCCCATCCACAGACTCAGAGAGTGGATG